CAACTGTTGCTCTCACTGGAGACTACTGGACATCGCTGGGTCACCATCATCACCTCAGAGTTACAGCATTATATTGATGAACAGTAGAGCTGCATTCACATGCTCGGACTGTCATGAAAACAGAAGACAGACTGGAACCCGCTGTGGCTGGAACTGGGGCCCGCTGCGGCTCGGAGATGGCGGCTGGAACTGGAGGTTGCTGCTGCTCGGAGACGGCGGCGGCTGGAACTGGAGGTTGCTGCTGCTCGGAGACGGCGGCGGCTGGAACTGGAGCCAGCTGCTGCTCGGAGACAGCGGCGGCAAGAACTGGAGGTCGCTGCTGCTCGGATAGCTGGGTCCAGGGATAGCTGCGGTGGATGCCGGGTCCGGGGATAGCTGCGGCGCTGAGGCGGCGATGGCTGGGTCCGGGGATAGCTGCGGCGCTGAGGCGGCGATGGCCGGGTCCGGGGATAGCTGCGGCGCTGAGGCGGCGGTGGCCGGGTCCGGGGATAGCTGCGGCACTGACGTGGCAGGAACAGGAACTCGTTGAGGCGGTTGCTCGATATGGAGTCGGGCGGACCACTGACCGGACACGGGGAGCTGGAGTCATCTGTGGCCCCGCGGAGGCAGCGGCCGGAACTGGAACCCGCTGCGGCTCGACGGCGGCAGCGGCCAGAACCCGCTGCAGCTGGAACTGGAGCCCACTACGGCTTGGCGGAGACAGGGGCTCGCTGCGGCCCAGCTGGAACGGGAGTCTGACCTTTCCTCTGCTTCCTATGAGGGTTGAAAGGGATGTCCATCGGGTCACGGTTCACCTTCTGGACACTCCGAGGACCTCCCAAGGCCAGGCGGGTCCCCGCAAACTGTTCATGCCACTCAGGGGAAAAACGCTCAAAATGTTGGTCCGCTGAGTCCAACAAGTCACAATTTGCCTTCTGGACACTCCGAGGCCCTCCAAAGGTCAGGCGGGTTCCCATAAACTGTTCATACCACTCAGGGAGACGGCACTCCAAACGGTGGTCTGCTGAGTCCATCTTGGGCCAGATCATGTCACGGGGCATGATGGAGAACTCAAACGCAGACCAGACCAGAAGTAGAGTGAAGCGGGAATTTAATGAATACTTAAATCAGAACAGGAAACTTACAGGAACACAGGGAATTCACAGTTTGCTGAGAACGACAGTTGGTCATCCAGGGTCACACCCAGGTTCCTCACAGTCCGAGTTGGCGTCACCACGGTATCATCAATGGTGATGGACAGGTCTTGGTGTGGGCAACCCTTCCCTGGGAGGAACAGTAGCTCGGTTTTGTCCAGGTTGAGCTTCAGGTGGTGTGTCGTCATCCTCTTCGATGTCAGCCAAGCACGCAGCGATGCGTACGTCCACTTGAGTGTCACCGGGGGGAAATGACAAGACCAGCTGGGTTTCATCGGCATAACACTGGTAAGAGAAGTCATGCGAGCGAATAACAGAACCCAGAGATGTGTAGAGCGAGAAGAGAAGGGGACCCAGGACTGAACCTAGTGGAACCCCCGTAGTCAGCATGCGTGGTTCCGATACGGCTCCCCTCCATGTCACCTGGTAGGATCGACCTGTCTGGTAGGATGCAAACAGGGAGAGTGCAGAGACTGAGACGCCCATCCCCTCGAGGGTGGAGAGGACGATCTGGTGGTTCAAAGGCCGCAGACAGATCCAGGAGAATCAGGACAGAGGAGAGTTCGCTCTCGCGGCATGAAGCGACTTCGTCACACGTTACAACTTCTACATCGTCACCACTGAGGGAAGAGTAGTTCTACATCGTCACCACGGAGAGAAGAGTAGTTCTACATCGTCACCACGGAGAGAAGATTACTTCATCTTGTAATGGTCATTTTTTACATAGTATATATTTCTACTTACTTAGTATATATTTCTACTCAGTATATTGTATTCATGCATAAGTAATTTTGCTCTGAACTTTACCGTATCTGTTGTGTAAAAGAAGAATTCTCCCTCTCTGCTCCTAAAGATAACTGTGTTGTATGAGAATGTTCCAGCATCAGGAGCCAACAGAGGTCGGTGAAGTGGCCCTTCAGAAGGAAACTCCTTCCTTCTGCCTCTACTTACCTCCAGACAAAATTAAGAGAGAGAGGCCCGATCCCTGTCCTGATCGTCTTCACTGGGATCCGATCCAGATGGACCTGTTGAGTCCAAATAACTACAAATTCTCATTTGGTGAGTCGCTGAAATTTTGAAAATGAATCGTGTTCGTGAAATTGACATATATGATAGCAATGAATTAGGAAACAAAAGTTGTCTCTTATTACTCACATTAGGTTTTTTTATTTTGTGGGTTTATTGGGGATGTTGGTTAAACTCGTATCCTGCCGTTTTTCTGAGCAGAAGCGATTGGGTTACTGGAAAATAAGGGTGAGTGTTTGACAGTCACGTTGAATACACTAAAGGTTTAATATCTTGGGGGTAGACGTTAAACACTGAAGTCCTTGGACCTAAGAGACTACGAGTCCGTAAGGATAAATGTTGTCTTGGAGGACTGGAATACAAGGATGAGTGTTTAGTGTTGCAGACCTTAGAGGGAGGTACGCTAAGCATTGTAGTCCTTTGACCTAAGCTGGAAAACAGGGGTGAGCGTTTGGTGTCTGCCTTCGAGGTTGAAGATCTTTGGGTTAGACTTTAAGCGCTGGAGTCCCTTGACCTTAAAGACTACGAGTCCGTAAGGATAAAGGTTGTCTAGTGGAAGGCTTAGACTGGGAGTCTAGAGCAACGGCTTTTATTCAGATTGTGCCAGAAACAAATCTAGAAACTCATGGTGACGACTGTTTAAAGAGAAAGAAAGAGAAAGAAACGTGTTAGCCCCATATAAGAGAGAGAGGTTTAGTGGAATATGGGGGCGATGGACCAAATGTCATGTTCATGAAAGGAAAATATGGGAGAGTGAGCTGCCAACATCCCAACGAATGGGTAAACAAAGGTTTATTCAGTCTCCATCTGACAGAGAAATTTGGGAGAAAGATATGAATGATGAATGATGCCACGGTCTTACCTCCGATAATAAAATACATGTGGGACAAAGATAATCAGACGGCCAAACAATTGGAAGAACGGATAAAATTGGGGTTCCCTGAAAAAGGCAACTTTAGCCTACGACAAAAATCAGATAAACTCAAACGGTGTCTGGAGCAGAGAGGACAAGGCAAAGCAGAGACACATGAAGTAATTAATATCCAAGAGGTAAAGAAAGAAACAGGTGTATTTGAATAAGACATATACAACTGATACAAAAGGAAAATACACCGCTGAACTTTTTTGTTTTTTATCTGAGGGACATGGTCGAGTGGATCCTGATCTGGACTCTGCAACGCCGCTGCCGTACGCTCTCCAGGCAACATTACAGCCAAAACCCACCGCTCAACACTCCGAGGATGAAGGAGACGAACGAGACTCATCAAAATCTACAGGCATAAAACTACAGCCCTGTCAAGGAACACTCATGAGAGTATGAATCTGGATTATCTGGAAGAGTACTTCTACATGAGTTATATACACCAGTTTATTAGTTGTGAACAAGAAGAGAACAGGAGAAAATAAAGAGGAAAACATTTTCTTTATTCTAACCCAGGTGAAGAGGAGGACCTCCTCCTGGCTCCGATTGGCTGGAGGACAGGAAGTTGTTGTTGCGAGTGGAAAAGCAGGAAGTACTACATGAACATGTCGTCATAGCCAGGGGGGGGCATGTGGTCCGGATCCGGCCTAAAAAACAACACAACATCGTCATATTTTAGTTCACTGACGCAAGACATTTTTTGCACAGTTTTACTGCCTGTTTAAAAGCACACTGAATTAAATAAAATATTAAAAAAAGAAGTGTTATATATATCCTGACCTCGATGTCAAGACATTTATTTATATTTATAAAAGAATACTGTTACTTCGGCTTGAAGTAATAATGGGAACAGTAGAATCAAACTGAAGTAGAAGTGAGAGAAAAGGACAAATAATAATATGGTATAATAATGGTATTAAAATATAATGAATCAGCTTGTGTGTTTCTGCTGTCTCTGCTCGGAGTATTGGATTTGTTCACAGAAACACAAACAGAGACGTCTTCCCTCGAGTTAAACCTTCATCGTGTTCATCAGTTATCACCGATCATCTGAGATGATCAGCTTCACAGCTCTGAACCAGGACCTCCACAAGCTGGTGGAAGATCAGCTTGTGGAGGCTGCAGATCCCTCAATGTCACATACATATTTAATATCTCTGTGTCTGAGTAGAGTCGTCGGATGGGACTGACTGAGTGTGTGTGTGTGTGTGTGTGTGTGTGTGTGAGTGTGTGTAAGAGAGCGTGTGTGTGTGTGTGTGTGTGTGTGTGTGTGTGTG